GTGTGATTGCTCAGGGCAGGTCATGTGTCCCTTTTGCATTCAGAGTGGAGGGCTCACAGAGGTCCTCTCAGGTTCCCAGGGAGGGTAGTGACACTCACTACCAGGGCTGACCTCCTATTATAGAGTTTATGTATGAAACTGTCACCACCATCCCCAATCTACAACTTTTCAGAGAGAAGCATAGAGAATTCAAGAAACATCCTCAGACCTGCATGTGGAGGAGAATGGTGATATGCCCTAATACTTTTTTAGAAGTTCCAAGACTCAATTCTATGTCTCACAGTACCTTGGGAGGACAGCTCTCAGTGTTTAATTGAAAATACCTATGTCCTGAAATGAGACACTTTTCTGTCATTATACCTGGTGATTTTCTGAGATATGATAAACAGTGAATTACACTCAGATTTCCCTGATTTCAATGGATTATTCCATTAGCCTGAATTCCCAACATGATTGAACAGGTATGAGACAATTTGATGACCTTGGATACACAAGGTTGCTTATATTAAAATCTTTACGATAAAGGCAGCGTGGATCCTACTGGCAAAGCCATCCTTGGTCCATGTCTAAACTCCATCTCCTCACCAGCTTTCTCAGAACATTTCCTGGTGCCGGTGAAGATTCTTGACTCAGTGAAGTATTTCTGCTAAAACAGCACTGAGTTTATGAGACTATAACCAGTATCCTCTTTCCAGTATGACCTTAAGACAGAAGTCTCTTCCATTTTACATTCAAAAGCACCTCCCTCATTCAAATTCTCACTTGTGTACCAAGGAACTGCCACACATTTATTTAAATTAGGGTCCTGCTCAGTCTGGGAAATACTTGCTTAGTGCCATCGACAAAAGCATGAGACTCTGTGGTTCTTCCTCTTTCTGGTGTCAGCTTCCACATATGAGAGTCTCACACATGAAGGATTGGGATGCTGCCTGGACGCAAGGATACACTGAGGTTCTCTTTGTCCACATGTGTCCTGTACCAGGTGCAGCTGCAAGAATGAGGTCCAGAATTGGTGAATCATTTGGAGACCCTCTATCTTATGTGCGCTGTCTCTGGATATGCCATCAGCACTGGTTACTGGTGGAATTAGACCCAGCAACTCCAAGCGAAAGGGCTGGATGGGATTGGGCAAATCTATAATAGTGGGAGTACCAACTCCAACCCATCCATCAAGAGTCAAATACCCATGTCAGTAGGCACATCCAAAAGCCTGTTCTTGTATCTGGCATGTTTGACCACTGGAGACCTGGTCATGTATTGCCATACAATAGACACAGGGAGGTGACCTCAGTGTGAGCCCAGGCACTAACGTTTATGCTGAGAGGAAAGAAGTGTTGGTATAGGTGCTAAGACCTACTGCCAAAGGGCTATCAGGACACAAAGAGCAGGTACAAGGAGGAAACAGGAAGGAGTTTTCTTCCCTACTCAATAGTTTTTCCTCCTCATCAACATCTTTCCTGCCTTTAGAGCATCTTATTTCTTTCCTTCCTTCTTTCTTTTCTTCCTTCTTTCTTTCTCTCTTCCCTTCTCTTTACTTCTTCCTCTCAGCTGTGTTTTGTCTAACCTTGTGCAGACATGAAAGAAGGAAGGAAATTTCTCTATTTATTATTCAGGTGTTCTCTGTCAATTAATGGAGCTTTATCTTATTTCTTCTGTTTGGACTATATGTCCCTGTTTCTTAATTTTTGTTGAAGTTGAGTATGGCTAACTCCTTATTAGAAGAAATAGCTGCCATACTTACACTTCACACACTGGGCTTGTAGAGGACAACAGCGTTACCAATCAACTCAGCAAGTGATTGTGGTGCCTTAAAACTAATATTGGTCAAAACTTCTGTCTTTGTTCTTAGTGGCCCATGGGCTCCTAGAGTTTGTTGAATTGTCCCAGTATTTCTAAAAAAGGATATGTATATGTTTTTTCTTCAGGAAGCCTCTGAAAAAGTTGGATCACTGGGCACTGTTTTATCATTGAGTTATGATTCATAAAGTAATACCAGTTCAAGTTTCACTCAAGGAGACGATAAACATTATTATTGTATGATTACTTCTTTTAATTCCTCAGGAGTTTATCTCTTGAAAATTTAGAGTACAAATTAGATTAAGGCAGATTCTTTGAAATAACGATATTCTGCAGCATTTTTGTTAACTTTCATCTAACCATTTAATTTTTTTGCTCATTGACTTTCAACATTATATTAGTCAAGTCTTTGGTATACAGAAATGTATATAAATGGTCCTAATCTTTTTATTTTTATGGGAACCCAGAGAATTTTAGAACATCATTTATTTACAAAGTAGCTTGTTCTACTTTCATTAACATCTTCTTCTTTATCTTGCTTCTCTCACATGTTCAGTACTTTGCTTAGAAATAACCTCAGTTAGATATCCAAGTGTGCCACTTTTATATCCTAAATTTTATTCCATGGTACACATTACAGAAAATCTCATTGTGATATCATAAAGAGAAACTTATGTCACCATGGTTTTAATTATTTGTTAGGAGTAGGACCAAAGCAGGTTTTTCTATTGGTGGTCATACACTAGAGAGGTGGTATCACACAGAATTTTTACTACCCCCATGTAACTGTGAACTGTGCTTTTTCCCTACTCTATAGTTATATGTAAAATTACTACTGCCAATAAAATTAGCACCTTATTTTAATGACACAATGTAGAATGTGGTCACTTTCTGGGTCACAAAGTGAAGAGGTATGTTCTCAGCTCTCTACCACTACTTACTCATGAGATCTCAGGCACAACCCCAGAAGTCACTGATACATATCCCTGGAGGGCAGTACTAAAAGGATGATCACAGGGAACCTGCTTCCTGCATCTGAGAGCTTGTTGTAACCACTGTTCCCTTTTCCATTCTAAAAACTGTTACATGTGCACTTTTATAGCTAAGAGTCTTACATACTCTTTTGCTTAACACAGCACAAGCAATGTATGGTAAATTCAAAATTCATGGACAAAGACACAGGTAACAAGAAATTGACACTTGGAAACTATCTTATTGTGTCCATAAAGATTCAAATACTGTTCCAGCATATAAGTGAGCTAAAGAACTTCTGCAAAATTTATGTCTGTACAATGACAGAGATATCAAGTGGAAGGGTTGAGGATCTGTACTTCTCAATGTTTCCCTAAAGAAGAGAGTACAAATGTCCAGAACACTGCAGGAGCTAGGGAATTTGCAGTAATGAGAATGATTACAAGTAGCTGGAATTTCCATGATAGTAGGAATGTTGACTATCTAGTCATAAAGTTATATGCTTTATTAAACCCCATGGCATGAATGCATTTTGCTCCATATTTATCCTTGAATGTAGATGGTAGTAAAGTCATTTCAGATGAAGTAATGTTCATCTAAGATAGGTGAGTCATATAAACAAGGTAAGTCACATGAAATCCAGAGAAAACTAGTTATACTTGACTAAATAGTTTACTTATGAACTAGTGGAAAAGGAAAGTAAATCAAAGTGGGTATCTAAATATTTGGTGGCACCTGAATTTGGGGAAGTATTTCATACAGTCAACATATCTGGAAGCAGTGATGTAGTAACACCTTTCTTTAACCACATATTGATCCCTTACTATCTCCTTAAACACATTTAAGGGTCTAAAAGAACAGGACCTTGGGAATGGTTAAAGGTGGATGAAGGGTAGAGGATGGAGCTTTATGAGAATACAGCTAGCATCTTCCTTCCAGGTAGAGCATTATGGACAGAAACCTAACTTCATCCTCTTTCATATTTGCATACAAACCTAATGCCCATGGGTATCATAGGAGTCACCCAGAAGAAACCATAGTACACATTTAGATTTTCTTGGCCTTTCTCAACTTCTAAATTATTTTCTTGGAATCATGACCTCAGCCTTAAGAACATGAAACACCTATGTTTCTCTTTCTCTTTGGTGGCAGCTCCCAGAGGAGAATATCTCATGATTCAGACATGAAGGTAGAAGGATGTTTCACCTAAACACATGAGTCACTGAAACTCTTTCTGTTCCCAGGATTTAGTCACAGGTGCAACTACAGCAGATCCCAAGACTAAATAAGCCTATGAAAACCTTGTTCCTCACCTGTTCTGTGTCTGGATTCTCTATCATTGATATTCACTGGTGAAGTTTTATTCACCAACCCAAATAAAAAGGCAGAAATAGATGGATTCCACCACCATGGGGAAAACACAAAGTTCAACCTTTTCCTCATGAGTTAATCACAATATATTCCTGGCTTCTACTGATTTCATTGATTAAATCTATGAATCACACACACAATCTCCTTATCAAATATTTTTCAGCAATGTTTTCAGTACCTTCAAATCAAGCTTATTCATTTTGCTATACACATTAGCTGGCAATTATATTAACATTCACTACAATGTAAAAGTAAAGTGCAGTTAACTGAAGTTGAGAAATAGATAAAAAGATAGTGAAGGGAAGGATAAGGATGCTAATATTTTCATCTTACAAAATAAGGAGTCAAATACACAATGCATAGCAAAACAGATAGTACAAGTGTTAGTAGGCCACTAGATTGAAAGGTGAGCAAAAAGAACTGATGTGCAGCTAGATTAGGAGGAGGGGAAGAGAGTAATGTGAAATTGAGGTAAATCTTGATCTGTTATAAATAAAGTCAACAGATAATGTGACAGGTTAATGAAGAAGACACCTTTACTAGAGATACTGGGGCAACAGCTGTAAATGATGTAACTTCAAACTTGATCTGGAGTTGGAAAGTGGTAGGGAAGTGTCTGCATACATTATTTTGACACGTATAAAATGGGACACAAGTGACTGAGTTTCCTTTGAGGTAATAAAAAAATGTCTGGAAATGGACAATGGTGATGGCTGTATAGCATTGTGAATGTAACTAATGCAACTAAACTTATTTTTTAAAATGGTTACCATGGTAAGTTTTACGTTACATGTATTTTAAAAATTGTCTATAAAAATTGTCTCTGACAAATTTCTATAAGTGAGAAGTAGCGCACGCGCCCGAGCACATGCCCACTGGGGCTGGCCAGGACTAGCTCGCATGCCCTCGGACCGCGTCAGGGCGCCCTTCTCCTCTTCCGCCGGAGTCATGGGCCGAACCGCTTATGTGTGGCAATAACATGTCTGTCCCGCTGCCTGCCATCATGCCTGCCACCTGGAAGGCCACCGCCGCGGTGATTTTCCCTCATGGATTTGGAGATTCCGGGCACGGATGGGCAGAAGCCTTTGCAGGTATCAGACGTTCCCACATCAAATATATCTGCCCCCACGTACCTGCTATGCCTGTTAACATTAAATATGAACATGGCTATGCCTTCTTGGTTTGATATTGTTGGACTTTCACCCTATTCACAGGAGGATGAAGCTGGAATTAAACAGGCAGCAGAAAATATAAAAGCTCTGATCAATCAAGTGGTGAAGAATGGCATTCCTTCTAATGGAAATATTTTGGAAGGATTTTCTCAGGAAGGAGCTTTATCTTTATATACTGCTCTCACCACGCAGCAGAAACTGGCAGGTGTTACTGCACTAAGTTGCTGGCTTCCTCTTTGGGGCTTTGTTTCCAAAGGGTCATATCAGTGGCACTAATAAAGATATTTCTATACGCCAATGCCATGGAAATTGTGACCCTCTAGTTTCCCTGATGTTTAGTTCTCTTACTGTTGAAAAACTAAAAACATTGGTTGATCCAGCCATGTAACCTTTAAAACCTATGGAGGAATGATGCACAGTTCGTGTCAACGGAAATGATGGCTATCAAGCAATTCACTGATTAACTCCTACCTCCAATTGATTGACATCACGAAGAGACCTTGTGTAGAAGTACACCAGCATCATTACAGTAGAGTGTAATTCTCCTATGCCCAGTCTTCGATCTTATAATGTCTGCAGTGTTAAAATGTTTTGCAAATCATGCCAAGGACACAGACTAGATAATGTTTCCTCATGGGAAATTTACGATCTCTTAAGTTTCTATGCTTGTACTCTTATAATAAGATCCAGAGCATACTAGTATTAAAATAGGTGAAGCGACTAGCTTCTTTTTTATCTAATGTAATTAAGCAAAATATTAGAATACTGCAACTAAATTTTTTTCTTAAATCACTTGAAAATTACTAGTATGCTTAATGAAATTTTTTCTAGTATAAATGAGAAATTAGCATATAAGTGATTTATGCATGCTGTGACTTAGTCCATGGATTTCTTCCAAAATTGCTCAGTCATCATGCAGTGTCTGTAGTTTTATATGTATTGATATATGAGTAATGATTGTAATATGTACTAAAAATGAGATCATGTTACATTATTCCTAATATTAGGGGTTATGATGTTAAGTGTCAATAAGTAATATTGTTCTTTTCAGTTCATTGTCCTTTTATTTTGGTACCAGGCTGTTCTTTTTCCTGATATTGTTTCTACTTAATATTCTTTTCTCTCAAGAAACATTTTAAAAAGTTATTTCTTTCATTACTGTCCCTGTAACAGACCGTATATTGTCTCACTGTCATAGACATCAACTGTCAATACATGCTATAATTTGACATTCTGAATCACAGATATTTAAAATCTATTTATACTCTATAAAGAATCCAGACATTACTTAAAACTTCCTGTTCTATTTATTTCAAATGACTATACCTTAGTCCAAATTTGAACTTATTTAGTTTTTAGAACCTTTAATACAGGTAACACATATTCTGTGGTCTTACTTTTCTGTAAGCAACTGAAAGAGTAATCATATTCTAGTATGTTCTGAAATATTTTAAGACTGGTCTTAAAAAACTATTTCTAAGATGATTTCATCTTCTCATAGCATAGCGTTTAAGTTTACTTATCTTGTACATATGTTTGAAACCAACTGCTACAGAAAATAAGCAATCCATTTAAAAAATTTATTTGAATCTGCCAGTGGACCTATGTGAAGTTTTCACTTCAGTCAAATGATTTTTTATTAGCTTTTTGTGCAAACATAAAAATAGCAGTCATTTGATTTCACATTGTCAAAATGTCAACTTTAATGGAAAAAAATTATTTGGAAACAAATTCATAGGTAATAAAGGTTAGTTAGAACCCTATACACATGTAGTTACCATATAGTTTGATGTGTAGCAAAAATGTATGCGTGACATTTCTGACAGTTAATTTTTCTGCAGAATTCCAACTGACCAAAAGAATGTTAAGAATGCATCTTTATAAATGGGTGCTAATTGATAATGGAAGTAATTTAGTAATGGAAGTATATAGGATGTTAATAATGAAGCCATACATTTATGTCTCGATTTAAAAATTTTAAGCAATCATATAGTAAATTATTTTGCTTTACGTTTTGAAGAACATTAGCTGTTGTTTCATTACATATGTCAGCAAGATTTTACTTATGACAAGAAATATTCCATCAAAATGTTGTGTTGTAATGTGAAAAAATGTAAATGTTTTTCATGGTTTGTATCAATGTGAAATAAAATTTAATTCTGTAAAAAAGAGAAGCAACCAAAATATGCCTTGTACACTTAGATTAAAAAGCAGCTCAGCTAAATAACCAATTGTATCACTCTAATGTTCTATCTTTCACAAAATCGTAGGAAACACATGCAATTCACTCAAGCTATTTGACAATTTGTAACAATAAATTCTTTCTTCCACTCCCAATTTTATGATCTGATTTCCACCTGAGATGTCATTAGAAGTGACCTTAATTTTCATATTTCTAGCAACATTCTGATTATGGTTATTTGTGTTTCTTTAAAAGAGGGGAGCACATTCACCTGCTCTCTCTCCTTTATTTTCTAAGTCCTCTTCAAACTCATGTGTAAAAACTATATCTGTCCAGTTTTTTAGAGCTTCTTAGCATTTTTTATTCATCTCAACAATATTTTAGCACCTGGCTTGCAGATATTTTTCCTGGCTTGCAGATTGTATCCTGCCAACTTTGTCTTCATATAATACAGAGGAAGAGATATCGGTAAGTAAAGCTATAGTTTTTTTTTAAACAATACTAGTATACTCCCAAAAATGTATGTCCTTATTTACCATAAATGTTACAACAGGTTTACTATCACAGCAATACTGATCAGAAGATATACAGTACTAATATACACCCCTGCCTCATAGGCAGAGTCTTACTTCCTATCAACATAATAAACCAACATCTTAAATATATTGCAGTGGATAGGAATAATCGACATAGTTATTTGCTTTGCTGGTGTTCTCTTGACATAACAGTTCACTCCAGTTAGAGGAAAAGAGGGTCAGGCAATTCTTACTTGCACTTTTATTCCCTGACCATTAGCATATATATTGGTTTAGTGCTCATCTGAATACTGGTTTTCTTTTTTTTTTTGAGTTGGAATCTCACTCAGTCACCCAGACTGGAGTGCAGTGGCCGCTCTCGTCCACCGCAGCCTCGCCTGTTGGACTCTGGCTATCCTTCCGCCTCAGCCTTCTGAGTAGGCATGCGCTACCATGTCTGGCTGATATTTTTGATTTATTGTAGAGATGAGGTCTCGCTGCCCAGGCGGGTCTCGAACCTGTGGGCTCAGGCAATCCACTCACGTCAGCCTCCCAAAGGCGTGGGATTACAGGCTGAGCCACTGAGCCCAGTGAATACTGTTTTTCTCTGTTCCCTGGCAGATGACAAGGGCTCTAAACTTTTAAGGCAGAGACAAGTCTGTAAGAGATCAGCAGTTTCTGGGGGAATCCCATGATGAGGCGCCCTTAAGAGAAGTGGTGACCTTGGCCATGAGTGACATGTGATGCCCTGGAGTTGGCTCAGATACACTGTAAGCTCTTGGGAGCTTGTTCTGAATTAAGCTGTTTGTACAAGAATATCCTACATATGCATTGGATCTCAGCACAAGCAATAGTTTTCCCTAGTAAAGTGAGTTGACACATCAAAGACACACTCTCAAGGGTCTGCAATTGTTTCCACTGGCTGAAAATGAGCCAGAGGCAAGAGACTAATTGACCTTGGAGGGGGAAAACCCCACTGGGGTTACTAGTTATGGTGGTGCCTCTCGTCTATCATCTGAGCAATTTCACCTGCTTTAATGTTGGTGTCAGCCCCTTGGTGGGTGAAATCATGAAGATGACAAGATGCACTGAATCATCCCACCAGTGATTATCCACTAGTAATAAGATAGGTGCCTGCAGGGATAAACAACTTAAGTGTATTCTCATCTTGTGCAGACACTGCCAAATGCCATGCCTGGCAGTAAGAACATTACATAAGAATTTATTAATATCAAAAGCAGCCTGGGCAACTTGATGAGACCTTGTATCTACAATAAATCAAAAAATTAGCTGGATGTGGTGGCACATACCTACTTGGAAAGCTGAGACATAAAGACTGCCTAAGCCCAGCAGGCCGAGGCTGTGGTGGCCATGATAGTGTCACTGAACTCCATCCTGGGTGACAGAGTGAAACTCCTACTCAAAAAAATAAAGAAATAAATAAATGATTAACAAATAACCTGAAAGCTGATGGTGGGCAAGATAATGGGTCACCCTCAAGGGACTGCAAATGTGGAGAGCTCAGATTCTCATGTCGGATTTTGTTCCAGCAACTGTGCCCGGAATTCACAGAAGGTCTCAGAGAATCCTGAGAATACAACCAATAGTGACAGCTGAGAGCTAAATTACAAAAAAAAATGATAAAAGCTTAAAACATTATTGGTTTAGTTAAAATGCATTTATGAATAGCGTCTGTTGAATAAATGCACAATAAAAAAGAGGATTTCTTTATACCTGGCCATATGATTTCCCAAGTTCCCTCTTTCATGTGAAAGTCCCTTAAGATAAACATCTTTTTATGGGTGACATTCCTTAGCCCTTCCCTATTTCCTGAATATCTTTCTATCTTTGTGTGATATGTTATCATCAGTAGGACAAGGCGAGGTAATAGATCATGTGTGTTCTTGTGATTCTTTCCTTTTTTTATTTTACAGATAGCAAGATGTGAGTGCACTACAGCCCAAAGCCTATGGTGGGCAAAAAGTAGCAAAGATAGGCACTATGTTTTTAGCAGCTAATTTATCCCAGAGGCACCAAAACAGTCAACATCACCTCATAACCTCCTCAATAATATATCAGGA